AGGGTAGGAACGGAAATGGATGAACGGGGAAAGAGGGAAGCTATAGGAGGAAGGGAGAGAGGGAGGAATGGATGGATGGACGAAGTGTATGTAATTCGGTTGAGAATTTGGTGGGGAAGCACGTGTTGTGTTCCGTTTTGTGTTGTTGTTCGTCGGATCAATTTTAAATGTCTTATTCAACTCTGTGCAATATGATGATGCGCAGTGGTATTTGTTAGGCTTTTCGATCGATGTTTTTGGCCTTTATGAGGTGGAAAAGTTGTTATGTTATTACTCTTTTACTCTACTTTTTTTCTCATATCAATTTTATTTTACTTTTATTTCAGGTTTTGCTGCATTAGAAAAACAAATCAGACAGGTTCTGTTGTTTAATTTATTTTCTAAAACTAGAGCTTCTGCTTTTCGGTGAGTTAGTTTAATTGTTTGTGTTGTTGCAGTTTTTTGCTGTTGTTATCATCTCGAAAAATCTGTTTCGTCTTTGCTGTTCCCACAAAAAAAAAATTTTTTTTCGAAATTGTACTTTTGATGTAGATGTTGTCAAAGTCTTGGAATTTCTTTCTTTTTTTTTTTTTCTTTTCAACTATAAGAGTCTGTTATTGCTGTGTTCCTCTTTCTGCTCACTAAAGATTTCTTCGAGTTTAATTTTTCATTTGTAAATTACAGTACATAATGTTCGCTGTTGAAGTGTGTTTAGGCTTTAATGCGAAAAAAAAAGAAAGCTTGTTTATATGAACTATGTTTACTTAGGCTACCACGAGAGTACTGCTAAGATTTTTTTTGCAAGAATATTAGTCTAGGTATCCCTCTTTTATGGTAATACAGAAGAGAAAAATGCAAAAGTTTAATTATTTGTTTTGTTAGGCGAGGGTTTTGTTGGCTAACACTGAGATATTGATAACAAAAATGATGTGGTTTTTGAGTTTATAAGACGGAAGCAAAGTTAATGAGTTTTGTTATGGTAAATTACCGTTTATTTGTTTATCGTGAGTGTTTTAGAAATCATTTTGCGTTATAAGAATTGTTTCTTTGCTTTTCAATGGAACGTCATGAAGAATGAATAATTTTCAGGGGGAGAAGAGAGGGAGGGGGCAAATTGAGAAAAAAAAAAAAAAAAAAAACCTTGGAACACTTGGCCAGGGATGGTATTGTTTTAATTACAGTCCAGGTAAGTCATTAAAAAGTTGCAGTATCTTTTCGACCTTTTTTGAGACTTTTCTACTTGTAGAAAGTTGTTTATTAAAAGTTGCTCACTTCATTTTCGTCCACACTTTTAGATTTCCTTTATTGTGCTCACCCCACAATTCTATCAGTTTGTAAACTAACATTTTTAATTTTTGAACGTCCACAGCGGGTTATGTAAAGTGGCAATTTCTCTGATTTTGTTTCGACATAACTCTAGTTCTAACTTTTAAGAGATTCCTCGTTTTTGGCTGGTTTATAAATCTTTTTTGGTTGTTTTAACGGAGATAAGTGTTATTCTTGTGGAAGAATTTAGTTGTTTTGCCTGTCTATTTAGATGAATTTGCTATGCTTTATTAGGAATTTCAACATCATTTGAGTTCGACTTCTTTCTGATATCTTGCTACTTTAGAAGCTAAAAGTAAAACAGTTATTGAATGTTTCTTTCGCTCTGCTGTGATGATTATTTTATTTCAACTTTATATTTTCTTTGTTTTCTTTTTTTTTTTTTTTTTTTTTTTTTTTTT